GACACTCTGCTGCCTGTTATAGCGCCTCTCGATAAGGCCATCATCGAGTCTATCACCAACGCTGGCATTGCCACGGATTTTGGCAAAGCAAGAAAGCTTTATGACAACTTACTTGTTGTTGGCGGAGGTTTGGCCAAGTTCGATAATTTCGATGTTCTTCTCAACGACAGAATCAACATCTGGCGGCCCAAGTTCTTGTCGTCCAGTGCCTTGGATGATGTTCTCACATATGTCAGCAAAGAGAAGGACAAGATGGACAATAAACGCAAGCAATTGATCGAAGAGGCCAAGAAGAAAAAGAAGGGAGGTCTGTCGTCAGACGATGTGGAGTTGACGGAGGAGGAGCTCGATGCCATTGACAGCGAAACACAGCTTTACGTGGACCTTGATCGTGCTGATGGACTCAGTGACCAAGGTCTGGTTGTGGCTGTGAATGTGCTCCCGCCTCCTAAGGAGTACGATCCAAGAGAATTGACATGGAAGGGAGCGAGTGTTTTCGGACGCTTGAAGGTGGCCAACGAGATGTGGATCACCCCAGCAGACTGGGAGCTTCTCAACTCGCGGACGCTCTACTACAAGAGTTTGTTCAACTATTAAAATAGATACGGTATGAGGCAATTTGATGACGGTGTAGAAGCGTACTTGGTGGGTTACTGACAGCTATGGTTCCGGACAAGACAATGGCATTGTATTCCATTATACTCGGAGTTTATGAGTTCAGTTGTGTAAGAGGAGCGATGGCTCTAAAGCGACAAATATACCAATTCAATATCGATATTTGGTCAATTGCACCTATTCAAGATACTATTAGGTCAATTGCAGCTATTCAAGATACGAATCAATGATCTTGTGGAGAAGGAGAGTTCTGAAGATGTCGTCAGAGTCAATAACGCCAGTACCCCAAAGCCGATCTGAAAGTCTACTTGATCCCATTACGTTCGGACTGCTACACATTCCAATTGGCTGAGGCGAAAAGTCCGACTGATCTACCAAGATCAATTGAAAATTTCGGAGATGCATTTTTCACCGAAGTAGAAAAACTAAGAGTTTTCAAATCAACCTTTGATCCGGACTCCAGACAGCACGCGTGGAGATTCAACGGTTTCATTTTTTTTTTTTTTTTTTTTTTTTTTTTTTTTCTGACTGAAGGTACTCCGACATTCCCCGGTTTTTTTTTTTTTTTTTTTTTTTTTTTTTTTTTTCTGACTTCTGGTACTCCGACATGCCCCGGTGCGTTAAACGCTCAGAGGACACACCGAGGGGCACCACGAGTTCCGGTTTTTCCGAATATCATCATTGAATATATATTTCCAGAAATTGTAAATTTAATGTTCGTAAAAGTTCAATTGATGGAGGCACGGACCAACCACCCTGCCAAAGTCCGGCTCAGTGCATTTTCGGGAAAACTGTTATTCCCCTTTCTGCCACAGGTTTTGCACCCATCCTCGGTGCGGAAAAGCCCACACGTTTTACGCTGACTCCGGCACCACTTGACTTCGTCTGACTCTGACAAAACCAGCATGACTTCTTCACCTCCCGCCGCCAGTGCCCTACATTTCCCCAATTCCAACCCTCCCAAACCCTCCGTCGTAGCCTGCCCGGGGAGAATCGCGGCCTCGGGGTTTCCAGGGAGTCGCGGTGCACGGGCCCATTGGCGGAGACTATACGCCCGACAAAAGCGAGAAAACCAACGAAGTTAACAACAACCTCATTCACAAATCAACCATGTTGTCCAAGCAGTTTGCCCGTGGCTTCGCCTCCACCGCCCCCGCTAAAAACTACGCCCTGACCATCAAAAACTTGAAGGTCAACGCGGACACCAAGGTGATCTACCAGGGCTTCACCGGAAGACAAGGTACTTTCCACGCTGAACAGGCCATTGCTTACGGTACCAAGGTCGTCGGTGGTACCAACCCCAAAAAGGCCGGTACTGAGCACTTGGGCAAGCCAGTTTTCGCTACTGTCAAGGATGCCATCAAGGAGACCGGTGCCAACGCTACCGGTATCTTTGTGCCACCTTCCATTGCCGCTGGTGCTATTGAGGAGGCCATTGAGGCCGAGATCGACTTGGCTGTGGCCATCACTGAGGGTATTCCCCAGCACGACATGTTGAGAATTGCCCAGATCTTGAAGACCCAGTCCAAGACCAGATTGGTCGGTCCTAACTGTCCCGGTTTGATTGCCCCAGAGCAGTGCAAGATCGGTATCATGCCTTCCCACATCCACAAGAGAGGTAGAGTCGGTATCATCTCCAAGTCCGGTACCTTGACCTACGAGGCCGTTGCTCAGACCACCCAGGTTGGTTTGGGTCAGTCCTTGGTCATTGGTATGGGTGGTGACCCATTCCCAGGTACCAACTTCATTGACGCCTTGACCTTGTTCTTGAACGACCCTGAGACTGAGGGTATCATCTTGATCGGTGAGATTGGTGGTACCGCCGAGGAGGATGCCTCCGAGTTCTTGAAGCAGCACAACTTGACCAGACCAGAGGGTCCTAAGCCTGTTGTCTCCTTCATTGCCGGTGTTTCCGCTCCACCAGGTAGAAGAATGGGTCACGCCGGTGCCATTGTTGCTGGCGGTAAGGGTGACGCCAAGTCCAAGATCTCTGCTTTGGAGTCTGCCGGTGTTGTCGTCGAGAAGTCCCCCGCTAGATTGGGTAACTCCTTGTTGCAGGAGTTCAAGAACAAGGGCTTGTTGTAGTTCCATAGAATACATTAGCAGCACTGCTGCAACGAAGAACTCCTTGTAGACTCTGGCTTGACCATCCTAGTACTTAGCACTGATTTGAGCGCGGCACTACCTAGTATTGAAAAATTTAGTACTGAGCGCTTCAACATCAACTAGCCCACATGTTTGCATTTTCAGCTTTGAAAAGCCTGGCCCGCCGAATTCTCCCGGTGAGTCGGCCGCTTTTTCTCCACCAGACCCCCTTTTCTGCATCTCAAACGGCCGTCTCTAGGTTGTTTTCCACCTCACCCCAGGTATTCAGGATCAACACTTCCACCAGAACAAAGGAGAATGTTCACGATTTGGAAACGTTCCTCAAGTTGATCGGAAGAAACTCTATTGAGCATTTGGACGCATTCGAGGGCGATTTGGAGAAGTTCCTTGGTACCTCCTCCAAGCAGATGAAGAAAATGGGCATCGACACCGCTCCCAGGCGATACTTACTAAGATGGAGACACAAGTTTGTCAATGACTTGGAGCCTTTGAGAGAGCACAAGAAGGGCCGCAAGAAGAACGGTGGTGAGAGAAACGCCAGATTGGTGATTGCAAAGAGAAAGGCCTTGGAGAGGCTTGAAGAGAAGGAGAAGTGGGCCTCATCCGAACAGGCAGCTGAGGAGAAGGGCGAGAGAGAATTTTAATTGTACATAGAAATCAACGGACGAAGGACAGGGTTGTAAGGGGATGTTGTGTGGTTGTGTTTGGAGGAGGAAGTTTCATCTATATTCAATGTGCACTGTGAGAGGGAGTTTTGGAGAGCTAATCTTGAAACTTAGAAGATTTAATTTTTCAAAAATGTTATCAAAATTTGATATTGACCTCTCGAAGGTGTTTGGTGTATAATATCATGGACTGGTTCATCGTAGTCTTCATCGCTGATAGAAAATAATGCGTTTCACGACAATGCAACCTGACTGACTTGTGGAGAATATGAAACATCTCCATAGATATATCACTTCGAGTATGCTTTCAATTATGCCCCTAGCCTAAGTCCAATATGCTTGCGTTCTCCATTTGCCCTATAAGGTGTATCATCAATGGTTGCAAATCACATACAACAGAAATAGATACACCAACTATTCCCTTCAAAGTGAGTAAATCAATTGAGATACATCCAGAGAACCAACTATGACACCACGCCTTATACGAAACGACATGGCGATGCAGCGCTACACCTTCTGTTGTACTGAGCATCCACTTTCACTAACACCACATAGCGTTCTCCAGGAGCCATTGACATTCGTATCAATACGAAAAAAATTGACCAACCAGCTTTCCTTAAATATTGCCCCTCCAACGCCCACCTCATCTTGTGGCGGCATTTGCAGCCAGACCTGCCTCTGGCGCGCAGTTGGATGCCACGCATCAATCTCGTCTTTCTCGTTTCTTCCACTTCACCATGATGAAAGCCTTCACTTTTGCTGCGATCATCGCCACGATCTTTGCATTCTTCAAGCTCGTTGCTGCCGGTGGCGACTTGCCAGAAAACCCTCCTTTCACCAGCAAGGTCTACTTTGACATTGAGGAGGAGGGTGAGCACATTGGCAGAATCACCATTGGTTTGTTCGGCACTGTTGTGCCCAAGACCGCCGAGAACTTCAGACAATTGGCCATCTCCGACGACCCTAAGTTCGGTTACACCGGTTCTATCTTCCACAGAATCATCCCCAAGTTCATGCTCCAGGGTGGTGACTTTGAGACCGGTAAGGGCTTTGGTGGCAAGTCCATCTACGGTGGTAAGTTCGACGACGAGAACTTTGAGTTGAAGCACGACAGACCTTACAGATTGTCGATGGCCAACGCCGGCCGTAACACCAACGGTTCGCAGTTTTTCATCACCACTGTCTTGACCCCATGGTTGAACAACGCCCACGTTGTCTTCGGTGAGGTCATTGACGGTAAGGACGTTGTTGACTACATGGAGAAGGTCAAGACCGCCTACGGTGACAGACCCAAGAAGGAGTTGAAGATCGCCGCTGCCGGTGAGCTTGAGCTCACCAAGGAGGAGAAGGCTGCCAAGGAGTCTGCTGTCAAGAAGGACGAGCTCTGAGTGTTGCAGAATTATCTTTTTCTATAGGCTTAACGCGTTGTAAGTGTTATCTGCTAGCTGTAGGGAGTCAATTGGATTGACCTTGTCTGTGCAATTGCGGAGGGCTTGATAGAACGTAGGATTTGTGAGATCGTCCTGGTCATTATCTTATAGAGGGCTCCATATTGCCCTTTCTGTAACTTGTCGCCCTCATGGCAACAAGATCAATCATCTGTTGACGCCCCTCTTAATCATCATCGTCATTTAGATTTAGTTTGAGCCCAAGCAGCTCTACTGTGCTGCCCTTCCCGTACAATGGAATATCGTCCAAGTACATATTCTCATTGTTGGAGGCCATTACCGTGCTAAGCAAATTATTAAAAGCAGTGGCTGACACCTCGCTGTTCACATTGGAAACATTGCTCATGATGGAGCCCAGACCAGGTTCTCCGTTGGTGCCTTGTTGGGCTGTACCAGGAGTTGGGGTAGGGAACAGCGGAGTAGCCGTATTTTGCCCACTTATGTTCGTAGTGGACGGAAGTGCAGATGGCGGATTTGTGTTGATTTTCTTCTCAGTCGTCCCGGCAGAGTCCTTTTCTGAAGGGTAAATGTGCCCACCCTCCGAAATGCTGAAGTTTGTCATGTTGTTGAGCAAATCGATGGATTTACGCATCAGCAAGACGCTTGAAAGAAGCCTAGCGCTGAGTATATCGTAGATTTTTGGCGCCTGGTACACGTTGGCACCGATAATGTAGTAGTCCTGCTCTGTTCTGGTTGTATTGGGGTCTAGTCTGCGTTGCTTTCTGATGATCCAGAAATCAGGCTCTCTGACGTAAGCCACCACAAATTCGATACCCACCATTTCACTGAGCTTCAGCTGCATGTATTTTTGTGGGTGTATGTTTGGTGGGATCTGTTGGAACTGGAACTGCATTCGTAGAACTTGGTTACTTGAAGTTCTGTCGTAGAACGGCAGCTCAGCAAAATAGTCAAGCACATTGCCTGAGTGGAGACCAAACTGCTGGATCCATTCCGGAGATTTCCACTGGATCTCGTCAAGTGGTTCGGTGGACATGATAATGAATGAGTGAATGTGTTGATGGTTTATGATATAGGCGCGCTTTAGTTGTAGATAGACAGAACTGGCAAGACTTGAAGAATATTTGAGAATTGTGATGAGTCGAGAAAAATTGGAGATGAAAAATAAATTCAAAAAGAAGACTTTTTCAACAGTTGAATCGAAATGGGCTTCTCTACAAGGACCAAAGATGTCAAACTGTTGCATGGGAGTAGATTACGTACTTTGCTGTATTCGAGATACATCCTAGGTTGTATTAGTGTAGAGTCTTTTTCGATTCTCTGCAACAAATGCTTCATACTTCATTGGAGTATAAAGCGACATGGGTCTAATTGACACCACCAAGCGCCTTACAGCGTCTCGCTTTGCATGTTGTGGAATGGCTGCAAAATGTCACTTGCAGGGCACTAAAGAAGGCACCAAAGATAAAGTATCCCCAATGGGGTGAACAGAAGCAAAGAAGGGCAATATAGTCTCTTCTTACACGTATCTTCTTCAAAAGAGCATGAAGGTTCATTACCCTGATGCATAATACAGTATGAATGCCATATCAAGATTCTCGACAGGCAATACCTCCAGCCCCCACTCATACCGCCAAAGCTACAGAGAAAAGCAAGTTCAATCCCTCTTCAATGGATATCTTCAAATCTAGATCTATAAAGTCTATGGCTGGCGGCCGTGCAAGTCAATTGCATCAGAGCCCTCCAGAGCGTCAGAACCCCAGGTCCTAGTCATGTCATCACAACTTCTCCTCTCCCTTGTCCAACTCGTGCTGGTACTTCTCAAGCTCTGCCTTCAAGTACTCAGCTTCCTTGCTCATGACCTCCTCGGTCCTGGGCTCTCTAGAATCGTCATCTGGTGCTTTGAACGCACCGTCCTTTTGGAATTGCGCCTTACGGGCAAAGAAGTCCTTGTAGGCCGCCTCCAAGTCGTTTTTCTCCAATCTCAGGTATATTCCATCGCCGTAACCGTCTGTCTTGAAACGAGGAATCAAGTGCGTGTGGAGATGAGGAACCAGCTGGCCGGCTTCGGGTCCGTCCTGGATGGCAATGTTGAGTGCATCCGCTTTGTAAACCTTTCTGATGAGTCCCTGTATGAGCTGCAACGATGTCATGTAGTCCAGGGACTCAGATGGAGTCAAGTCACCAAAGCGAAGAGCCGTGGTTCTTAAGGGCACCACGAGAACGTGACCCGGAACTAGCGGTTTGAGGTTGACTAGAGCGTAGGTATATTTGGATCTGAAGAAGACCTGTGAGTCCACAGCGAACTGGTAGAATAACGTTTCTTTGGTCATGGTGGTGATAACCTCTATATTCGCGATTGCGATGTAGTTATGGATATGCGGTTATGAAGTATGAGATCTGGGCTTCAGCAGAATAGGGTAATCTGATCCCATGGGGTTATTCTTGAAGATGAAAGATAGGGCTCAATAGGTGTTTGAAGGTTTTCTTTTATTTTGGGTTGGGGTTAATCTCAGTGGTTGCAAATGTAGCCGCAAATGTAACCGCAACGGTGTGTAGATCAAGAAGGCTGTTAGAGGAGAGAATTAAGATTGAAAAGACATGGATACGACCATTTCGAGTTTGTTAAGCGAATGACAGCTTAAACTTTTTCTTTGGATGGCTCAATTGCTCAAAATGTGATACCTTGTTGGTGGTGCCCATCAGATAATACCAATTGTAAACCATTGACCAAAGAAAAACCATTCAATGTCAAACATAGACCAGATATAATTGAGTTGAAGAAAGCTGTTTTGCCAAAATGTACTCAATGGCTCAGATTCCTAACCTTTCACGTCCACCAATCAGATGAGCGTGTCAAGTGAAAAATGTCCATTTTTCATGGCGACAACAACATGGCAGTAGATAACTGACGTAACCCACATTAGTTCCATTCAATTATCACATCATTCTATCAATTCATCATCCCATCTATTATCTCACCTACAATTCTCATAATTAGAGCCGTGGCATTAGTCTATAAACTGTGAACTTACTTGTTCACCTTGCCGAAGTACTCCTTGGAGTTCTTCACGTCAGGCTTGATGGTCTCAGCACCCTCGGACCAGTTGGCTGGGCAGACCTCACCGTACTTCTCGGTGAACTGGAAGGCGTCAACCAATCTCAAGGACTCGTCGACGGATCTACCGACAGGCAAGTCGTTGATGGTGATCTGTCTCAAGACACCCTTAGGGTCAATGAGGAAGATACCTCTGAGGGCAACACCCTCCTCCTCGATCAACACACCGTAGTCTCTGGAAAGAGAGTGGTTGGTGTCAGCGAGCAATGGGATGTTGACTGGGCCCAAGCCACCGTCCTTTCTGGCAACGTTGGTCCAGGCAAGGAGGGAGTACTCAGAGTCGGTGGAGGCGAACAAAACCTCAACATCCTTCTCAGCAAACTTCTTGACAGCGTCAGAGTAGGCGATGATCTCAGTTGGGCAAACGAAGGTGAAAGCCAATGGGATGAAGGCCAAGAGGACCCACTTGCCCTTGTACTGCTCGAGGGAGACCTCCTCGAAAACACCGTCGACGACGGCGGTCTTTTTGAAAGATGGGGCTGGCTTCTGGATAACGGCGGACATTTCTATAATCTATGAGGAAAAATGGCTGCGAAACGGTGTGGCTTTATATGCCTCGGTGCGAATCTAGACGTCCGCTTTCTTACTAACTTTGGACCACGGTGGGTCCTGTGTGCAGTACACACGGCTTGTCCACGCCAGTGTAATCCCACCAGTTTGCCATAAATTCACAAAAAAAATGCCAGCATCGTGTGATTCGGGTTTTTGCGACCCCAGCGATGCCAATTTTTCACCCAAAAACGCCCCCTGAACCCTCCCCTACATGACGCCACAGTAACCGCGGCAGAATCGATCCACCACAGTGGTTCAAGTCCGATCGCGGTAGCATGTGAGCCATCCCTTAGTCCAGGGTCGGTGATTAGATAAGCGTGAAGGTGGCGCTTAAAAAGGACAATGGATGCGGGCTGATAAAGCGGACCGGTCCAGGGCCCGGGAGATTCAGGATTTTTTGGAATAAACCATCGGGACGTTCAGGAAGGCCATGGAAGCTCGTGGAAGGGCGGTGGTGTGATTATGGGCAAAAGAGATGGAGGTGGGTTTTGACAGTTTAGAGGTTTTGAAGTTTAAAGTCATTTTGGTGATTTTGAATTTCTGAAATTTTTCAGTCACTGTGGTACGGACAAATCAGGCCTGAGCTGGTCGTTAACGCGCCACAGGCTAACTTGGATAGGGGCGCGACAATGTCGTCGCTACCTCAGCATACCCCCGAGTGAATTCAGCCAGTTTGCCTTTTTTTGGGGAGAAATTTTGTAGAATTGCTGCTAAGATGAGGAAGACTGTGCTGTGTAATTTTCAGAAGATTCGAATCGGTTTTGGCGGAGATACACGAGGGCAAGCTGAGGCAGCGACGACATTTTTGCAACCACCATATGGGCCCACGAGGCGCCACTGGGGTGTTCACGCAAACGGCACATGAACCGGAATGTGAAATCTGATTTTGTGAGTCCTACTTTTCGATCTGCTACAAAAGTTCAAAATTCTTGCTCTCACTGAGATAGTATGGCAGCTGCCTCTGTAGGCCGAATCGTCTAACGGTGAGAATGTTCCTCTGTGGCTCTGTATTGTGAAATACCAAGAATAAGCCGCATTTCCAGTACACTAGGCTTTTTTACCCGTTTCCTTGGCCGTCGCATTTGCGTCTTGAATATGCCGATTTTTCAGGAATTTGCTAAAGCCGGGTGACGTAAGCTTTTAGAGTTTGCCTTTATCTAAGAATGTGGGAGCTTCTTAACGCATAGAGACGTTGCACAATAGCTATGGACAGTGTAGCGCTGCATTTTACCAGAACTACAACAAAAGCAATACCTGTTCTTTCCGTCATCTATGACCAATTGTCTAAGTCCCCAAGAACGCCCTTCCGGTTTCCTAATCCTTCTTTGCAAGACCTGTAATCACGTGCCAGGTCACGTGCACCATGACCTTGTATATCGCCAGGCAAGCTCACTACTAACTACCAATGATGGAGAAACTAGGCTTCCACAGAGTGCTGAACAACCCCGGCCCGGGTAATCCGGCTATCCACCATAATCAAGCACCGCCCAAGGTGCCCAAGGTCACGCCTTTTAAAAAGCAGCTCAAGGTCGACAATGCTCCTGGAAACCAGGTTGCGTTGGCCAACTTGATCGCAGTGAATCCAGATGATTTCCCAGAAGCCCAGAACAACCAGCACGTGTTGTTGGAAAAGACCTTCGTCTACAGCATCCAGAAAACCCCAGATCAGCCAAGAGGCACTGTTGGTTTGGCGGGACATGTGAGAAAATGGTGCAAAACGTCTTTGGGACAGCCTGTCACGCTTGAATCGTTCAACATCTTCGAGAAGCTGGGCGACAACACGCATTACCTCGGAGAAGTTGATTTCGTGATTGATTTCCTTTCAGCCGGCAAGGCTAGGGATGTGCATCTCAGCGAGGAGAAGCTTGTGGAGGTGTTCAAGGGAAGATTCGAGAACCAGATTTTGCAACCTACTCAGCCGATCGTGATGGATTTCGAGGGCTACATCTTTTTGGTGATTGTCCACGGCGCCCAGGTCCTCAATTTGTCTCAATTGGGTAACAGCGAAAGACTGATGTCGGAAGACTTGTCCACCAAGGGCATTTTGATGAGCAGCACCAACATCAACTTCTTTGGCGCCGAGAACACCAAGATCAACTTGATCAAGAAGAAGGGCGCCAAGACCTCCATGGCCAACAAGCCAAGAGCCAACCCTATCATCAACCCTGACTTCAAGTTGGAGAACATGGGCATTGGTGGTTTGGACACCGAGTTCCAGCAGATCTTCCGTAGAGCTTTCGCCTCGCGTATCATTTCTCCAGATCTCGTGGAGAATTTAGGTTTGCGTCACGTCAAGGGTCTTTTGCTTTACGGTCCACCTGGTACTGGTAAGACCTTGATTGCTCGTCAGATCGGTAAGATGTTGAACGTGAGAGAGCCCAAGATCGTCAATGGTCCCGAAATGCTTTCCAAGTACGTTGGTTCTTCTGAAGAGAACATCAGAAACTTGTTTAAGGACGCCGAACAGGAGTACAAGGCCAAGGGCGAGAACTCTCAATTGCACATTATCATCTTTGACGAATTGGACTCGGTTTTCAAGCAGAGAGGTGGTGGCCGCAGTGATGGTACCGGTGTGGGCGACAACGTTGTCAACCAGCTTTTGGCCAAGATGGACGGTGTGGACCAGTTGAACAATATCTTGATTATCGGTATGACTAACCGTTTGGACTTGATTGATAATGCTCTTTTGCGTCCTGGTCGTTTCGAGATCCAGATTGAAATCTCCTTGCCAGACGAGAAGGGTCGTAAGGAGATTTTGTTGATTCACACCAAGAAGATGAAAGACAATGATTTGTTGGCTGACGACGTTGATTTTGATGAGTTGGCTAACTTGACCAAGAACTTTACTGGTGCTGAATTAGAGGGTTTGGTCAATTCTGCCTCTTCCTTCGCCATCAACCAATACACCAAGAGCGAGAACATCGCCAAGGTTGACCAGAACATTGCTAAGATGAAGTTGACGAGAAACGAGTTCCTTCTCGCTCTCAATGAAGTCAAGCCAGCCTTCGGTGTGAACGAGGAAGACTTGAACTTGAACTTCCCTTACGGTGTCATTGAGTACAACAAGCGCGTGCATTCTGTGTTTGAGCGTTTGACTTCTTACATTGAGGAGGTTAAGAATTCTGAGACGGAAAGACTTATCAGTGTATTGTTGCACGGTGATCCTGGTGTCGGTAAGACAGCTATTGCATCCATGATGGCGCTCAAGTCAGACTTCCCATACATCAAAATGCTCAGTGCTGAGAACTTGGTGGGTATGTCTGAGGCAATGAAGATCGCTACTATTGACAACACGTTCAGAGATGTCTACAAGTCGCCTCTCAACGTCTTGGTGATTGACAAGATCGAGACGTTGATCAATTACGTCCCTATCGGTCCTCGTTTCTCGAACGACATCTTGCAAATGTTGATTGTCAACTTGAACAAGAAGCCACCTGGAGGCAGAAGATTGCTCATCATCGGTACCACCTCTCAGTACTCCGTGTTGAAGCACATGAGCTTGGTAGAGAACTTCACCAAGACGATCGAAATGAAGAAGATCACCGAGATCAGCGAGGTCCGTGTGGTGTTCGACGAGATGAACTTCATGGAGCCCAACCAGCGCGAGCAGGTGCTCGAACAGTTGAGCCGCTACGGTGACGGCCGTGTTGAGATTGGCATCAAGAAGTTGATCCAGGTGATGAACAATTGCAAGTACCTCAATGCCGATGTCAACCTGGCTGTGGAGAACATCCTCGAGGCTCAGGTTCAATAAGCGAGCATGTCACTACACAAGTTGCGGTGACAACCAAAATTGCACAACCATAGCAAAACTCAACCGCAATGAATAGACGTTTTATTTTTATGAATTCATTTGTCACATTTCAAGTTGTGTCAGACTTTATGCTAGACCAAAGGACCCTTTTCGCGGGGGTCCTGCGTCGCTAAGATAAGCGGCCTAAATGCGCAGAAGATCGCTGTGATCTACCACTGAAATGGGCTACTTGGCCAAACTGAGTATATAGCCCCTTGAAAATTCATATATTATTTCAAAATATTTACCGCCAATTGCGCTATTTTCCATATTCCTAAAAAATTACAGTTTTTTTTTAGTCCGTAGAACCTCCTCTCGGACGATCCCTACCCTACCATGCAAGGTCTGCTTGGCCGCAGTCCAAAACTATATAAACCCACAGATCCCCCCAAAAAAATGTGATCCTCATGTCTGCCCTCCTGGAACACTCCTTCTTTGAACAGGAGTATTTTGCCGGTTTCGGCGTCCACTCCGACACCGACTGGGACGGCATCAGCGTACCATCTTCACAAACCCTTTTAACGTATCCAAATGTGATGGGTTTCTTTCCTCGAGGAAGGGTGTTCTCAAGTTCTCCTCAAGGTTGGATGACCCGTTCTCCAAGGCACTTGCCGCTTCCTCAGGCCTCGAGAGAACGGAGCTACCGGTCTCTGAGTTCGGGCCACTTTTTGTCTGACTACTCTTGTCAGGTCCGTTTAGTAACGGAGGCATTCCGGGACGCCTCTGTTCCTTCTCAAGAAGAAGCCTCTACAAGCTCCTCGGAGAACAGCGCTGCTCCGCCGATAGACGCGGTGGACGCCTACGTTCCAGGACCTGCTAATAGCAGTATTCCTGAGATAACAGTTTCTGACTCCAGATCGCCCCCTTCTGTTCAATCCGTCAACTTTCCTACCCAGTTGTCGCCAGACTCGCAGAAGGAGGTCTTGTTTCCCCAGACACCCCAGCGAACCAACTCCTCGACTATGTTGGGGCATAGTGTGGGACCTACAACGCCGGATTCTCAACCAACGCCGTGTCCATGTGGGTACCAGAGTCAAGCGCCTATTCACTCCCACATCGTCACTTTACAAATTCCACCACAACAGGAAGAGGTTGCCATTACGCCGGCGCCACAAGGTCCCGTTGATGTCACCTCGCATTCTAGTCCAGATCTGGAGATGTCGGAGCAGACAAGAGCGTGCAAAGGAATCGACAAAACTCTCAAGAAGAAGCGAGTCATCAGGAATCTTCACTACCCTACAGTCATAAAAGAACCTCCCTTTAAAGTTAAGGTCCTTTCAACGGAGGAGAAGCTTGAAGTGAAGATACGATTTGAGGAGAGGAAAGCATTCTATAAGGTCTACTGTCAATCGGAGAACACGTACGAATACCGCCTTCCCATCTTTAGAACTCTTAGCACGATGCTGCAGATGATGTCCAGTCAGAGGTACTCTTCTCACACCTCAATCAAGGAAGATCCTCACGTCTTGGTTACCAAAGAAAGTCTGTCCTACCTGGTCAGTCTCAGGCGCTTCGAGTCCCGCCTCACTTTTCAACAAATGGCTCACATACTCGGACTCCTGCGGTTCAGAATCACATTGATCAGGGTAATTGAAGCGATCTTCATCCTTTTGTTCGAGCAATTGTGTGGACTCAAGTTATCGAGTCAAAGGTGGACCAAGCTTGAGACCTCTGAACGTAAAGCTATGACTGCTCGTGTTTATCGGTTTTCACAGCACTATTTTCCGACCATTAACACGACAATACTCGATATAATTATGCGGAGGGCGTCCTACTCGAAAGCCCAGCTCGAGCTCAAAGGTAAAAGGTTGAAGAAGAACAAGTATAAAAAGAAAAAGGGTGGAACAACTCTCTATGACGAGCTTGATTTATGATGTCACGATACGGGGAGTTAAAAAATGGAAAGGGTGCAAAAAAATGAGTGGTACGGGAATCGAACCCATGTCTGCTGCTTGGAAGGCAGCAATGCTAACCATTACACCAACCACCCTTCTGTGCAAAATACGCTGTGCAGTGAAAATAAATCTGCTGTGTTGGCCGATCACGTGACCAAATCCGAAAATTGCAGTTTTCCAGATTTTTGAATATCTGAAACCCCATAGGTGAAATTTTAAGACCGGAACGTCGAATCGGGTTTCCCGAAGCCAATTTAATGCTTTTATGGGTTTTGGCGCTCCAAGTTCAAAATTCGGCAGCTCGGTCGGGGTGTGGCCCTTATCTATGCTCGACCCGCACGGAAAGTTGGAGCCACAACTGATTTAGCGGCTTCTAAATTGGCTCATTTACGATCTCGCAGAGTTATCCTAGGCACTTTCCTAGTCTTTCTACCTTTCTTGGTACCACGAGTAACCACTGGAAAAGCGCCATTCATCCAACAGCGCCTTAGCATCATGACTCAACCGTTGACAGTGGAAATTCCGGGCCCCAAGCTCATTACAAAATCCGGAAAAGAAGTGCAGATCGGTACCGGCTCAGGCACAAAATGGCAAAAAATCAAGAAGGGAAGAGACTCCTCGGTTAAGGATACGTTGGTGACCGAGATGGTGGACTATCTTGTGGAGGCAATTCATAATGGTTTCAGGCATATCGACACGGCCGAGATCTACACCACCCAGCCAGAGGTGGCGGCTGCAATTGCCAAAAGCGATGTTCCTAGAGAGGATCTCTTTGTGGCTACGAAGTACAATCCAGGTGTGGAACCCCAGCCTGCCAAGTTTGATAATGCTGCTGTGTGGGTCGACTCTGCTCTTGAGGAGTTGGGTTTGGACTACTTGGACTCAATTCTCATCCATTTCCCATTTTTCAAGCCGGAGTTCTCGAAGGGTCAAACAATTGAGCTGGTTTGGAAAGACTTGATCGAGGCTAAGAAGGCGGGCAAGGTGCGCTACATTGGCGTATCTAACTTCGCTGTGGAACACCTCCAGCGGCTTTTTGCAGTGTCGGGAGACAAGGAATTCTACCCTGCTGTCAACCAGATCGAGTTCCACCCATACTTGCAGAACCAGAGCCCGGGGATCGTCAAGTTTTGCCATGACAACAATATCCTCGTGGAAGCCTACGGGCCCTTGTCTCCACTTTTCAGAATCGTCAAGGAAGGCGAGGATGTCAAGGAACATCCATTGAAGAGCGTTTTGCCTGAGCTCGCCTCGAAGTACGGCCGTGCCGAGTCGCAGATCTTGCTTAGATACACCTTACAGAAGGGCATTTTGCCCATCACCACGTCGTCTCAGTCGCAGAGGCAAAAAGAGGCATTGGCAGTCTACGACTTTGCGCTCTCTGACGAGGATGTGGCGTTGATAGATAAGAAGGGCTCGGAGTTTGAGTTCCGTGGGTTCTTCATTGGCCTCTTTTGAGCTCCTTATTACACAGCTACACCCATTCTCTCTGTAGCAACGTCCTACTGCCTAGTAAGCAATTGCCAGCCATTGAGGCAATTTGAACCACTTTTATGGCACAGCGCAAGCAAAGCAGCATTGACATCACAACAGGGCTTATATCTTGCGACTGACTCTGTAACTAGTGGAAGCTTTGTGTCAAAAGTAGTCTTGCTCAGGCAACCAAGGGAGTTTTTCGCAGCCATACTAGAGGCGAAATATTCCGAACATTTTGAGCCAATTGAGCCACTTTTTCAAAAAACCCTGCTAAAAACAGCAAATCCCAAACTTCCCATTCCCCAGGCCACGAGCACTGGCCCCATTGGAGGCTAGACCTTCGGAGTAGTTTTGTGGTAAAAGCCACACGTGATCTGCGGGAGGGTCTCTGTCATGGCAGTGGGAAGTCGAGTTGCTCGATCTGTAGAGGAGCTTCTATAAGAGGCAGCTCAATTGGCAATTTCCCGGCCTTCACTTCCTACTTTTCTCATGATGTGCGGAAGATTTGCCCAAGGCATTGTATGTGCTCGAATTGCGATTTTGCAACCATTTCTAACCCCAGTCCATTGCTCAATTGCCTGAGCAGTTCAACAAGACGCTTAACCCAGGTTCCGAGAACCAATTGGCGAAGAATTCCGAAAAGGAGTTCAATACTAGGGCCCCTGGCCCAGACGGCCTGGAGCACGATGTGGCGATCAACATTGTGTCGCTTGACTTTGATGGTTCCTTCAACATTCCTCCTACTTCCAAGGCGGTGATTGTCTACCAGAACAAGGAGAACAATTACGTTTTTGAGCTGCTGAGCTTTGGCTACGTGGCGACTTTTGAAAAGCCCAAGGACCCTGCGGCCGTAAAAAGAGGCAACAAGAACGGACCAGCCTACTCCAAGGAGATCCAGCACGAACAGCTGAGACGCTTCAATTGCCGTAAGGAGACAATGGCAAGCAACAAGCTGCTTTGGGTGGAGCCACGCAAGAACCTGCGTTGTGTGATTCCCATCCAGGGCTACTTTGAGTGGAAGAGGACCAAGGAGAAGCCTGCCTACTATGTGACGCTGAAGGACCGTCCTCTTGTGTTTCTTGCTGGAGTATACGCCCACAACTACAACTACAACGATACGGAGATGGTGAAGGACGGCGACGAGTACCTTTCTTCGTTTTCCATTGTCACCGGTCCAGCTACAGGCAAAGGCTCCAACGACCTTCTGTGGCTCCACGACAGAAAGCCTATTTTGCTTGAGCCCAACACCAAGGAGTGGCACGACTGGCTCACGCCCAACCACGAGTGGAACCCGGAGCTTTTGGACACTGCGTTGAACCACGAGGACAATAAGGCTTATGATGTGCTCACCAGTTACGAGGTGGACAAGGCCATTGGGAATCCTTCTGTTGATGGTCCTGACAATTTGAAGCCTGTGAAGAAGCAGCAGAGAGATATCGGGCTGTTCTTTGGCGCCCAGCCCAAGAAGGCCGTAAAGAAGGAGGAGCCTAATGTCAAGGATGAGTCCAATGTCAAGAAAGAGTCCAATGTCAAAGAAGAACAAGACGCAGAAGGCGACTCCAAGGAGAAGGACGCCGAAGGAAAGGACGATGCCAAGGAGGAGCCCGACGAAGATATTCTCGAGGAAATCGACGACGGTTTGCCTGAAGACGGCGTTGAGAACGAGGACGATGTCGAGGACGACGGAGAGTATGATGATAACGCCGGCGGCGAGGCTGACGACGGAGAAGACGAAGACGAAGACGAAGGTGAAGATGGTGATGACGGTGACGACGACGACGAGGTTCCTGATGTGAAGGAGGAAGTCGAAGAGCTCGAGGAGGACGAAGAGGACGACGAAGACGAGGAGAAGGTCGGCAACGTCGAGATCGAGGACGACGAGAACCCCGGCGAAAAGGAAGTTGGCGACGACGATCTTGACGATGAAGACGTCAAGGCCGAAGCTCAGGAGCTCGGTGACGACGAAGAGGTCAAGGAAGACGAGCCCAAGGCCAAAGAGAGCAAAAAGGCTCCAAAGGACAAGAAGGCCAAGGGCAAGGAGTCCGGCAAGGACAAGGAGCCTCTGGCAGGTTCCAAGCGTAAGAGCAGTGCCCAGGGCAACGACTCCAAGCGTAAGAAGTAGTGGTTTGAAATGAATTCTTGATTGGGGAGAGTGTAGTGGATGGAATTGTGAAGACAGTGTCTTTGTCTGAAATCTGGCTATTTTATCTGATTATTTTACCGAAGATCGAAATTCACCTGGTGGATCAGAGTGATGTTATATGGTTGCAAATGGCTAGTGGAGTACCTCTCTAATGTGGATAAGCACAGGTTCAATGGTGTCATTTTACCAGATCACGAATAAGGAGATAAAGACGAGGAAAATTAAATGAAAGCGGGAAGAGGATGAAATATTTGATAATGAAAAGTTTGAAAAAAGGATACCCGAATACTTGGTCCTTTACATCCTACCATCTCTTGACAGTACTACTCACCCCAAGTATACGATATACCACACCACCCCATCTTACTCAGTTTCCAAAACCTTTGTCCACCCTTAATACCCCTAAAAATCACATTTCCACCATATAAACAAAAAAAAAAAATACAATATCATGGGGTCCCCCACCCCACCTGTTGATCATTTGCAACCATTGCGTGCCGCGCACAGAAAAAGTTTCATTACTACTACCTCACCAAGTAGACACTCCAACCCCATGCTTTCTAGAGCTATCCACAGGCTGGGCAGGTCCGTCCTGCAGTGCCGTTTCCGCTCCAGCGTGCCCGAGCTGTCTGAAGATTTGGTCTACCTCAATCCACATAAATGGGAGGGTCTTCCAGCTGACAGAATCTTCGAGTTGCACAGACTCAGAAAGACCGCCATGGGCGACAAGTACGTGCCCAACGACAAGGAGAGACAGGCTGTTTTGCTGACGTACGCCAAGTTGCTGGGCAAAATCAGACCCAAGTTGGAGTATGTCTACGAGTTGGACAACTTCAAGGAACACATCTTGAACAACGTGGTGAGACCACCCGTGCCTAAAATGTCCAATATCGACGTCCGTCCAAGCGGAGAAACCCCTCACATTGACCGCAAGCTCGAGGAGCTCCATCGTATTGCTGCCCACGAGATGCCGCTTTTAGCTAAGTACCGCCAGGCATACGAGCCTCCATCTCAGTCACCTCTTCAGTTGAAGTTCCACACGGATCTCTCTGACGATATGCTGTCGACGGAAAACAGAAAAGTCTCCTTGAACGTCGCTCTCGAGGACCTTGGGCTCGACGACAAGCAGGCCCACAAGTTCAAGGTATTGGCCGGCAACAAGTTCAACCACAAAAACAACGTTTTCCACATGAAGACTGCCCGTTACGGCGTTGCCACGCAGAACGCTCGCTGGCTCGTGGAGACGTTCAACAAGCTTTTGAAAGCCGCTAAGGACATGTCTGACTCCATGGAAGATGTGCCCGTCAACACCAGACACTCGCAGCCCAGAAAGCCCGAGGCGGTGTTCCCCGAGGAGTGGAAGAGACCCCAAGACGCTCCAGTGAAGAAGTTCCTGATTCTGGAGCGGGTTGTCGACATGGTGATCGAGAAAAAGGACCAGGAGTTCGTCAAGAAACTCACCCCATAAGCATGTACATAATATAGAAGGCCTTTGGAAGGTAGTGTAGAAGGAGGGCGTTTTGGAAGATAAGGGGATCTAGAGTTTGGTGAATTACGGTTCAATCAGATATGGAGATATAGATATGCGCAGTGATAACGAAGTTGCAAGTGAGATCCAGACTTTTCAAATGGGAAATCCAAATAAATTTCAATCAAAGAATAATAGAAGAAAGGGAAAATGAAATAACTCTTATTTTTCACCCAAATCCACTCACCATATATTTGAATCAGATCTCCTAGTGAAGGCTCCAGACCAGAGGTGCACCCGTGCACCACCGCATGTTTTGTTCACCGTAGTAGATCCATTATCAGATTACCTTGCATCCATCAGGTCATCTAAACACTACAATTATCACAGAGTTCCATTTCGCTTCAAGAAATAGATTCTAATTTACCACAAAACGCCAAATCATCATGTCCTCGGCAACAACCACGCTAGATGATATCATAGACGAGCTCAGGCTCAAGTACGACTCGTCTGTCGGTCTTTTGGACGGCAAGGCGATAAGAGAAATCCCAAATCTAAACACACTTTACAACTTGACAAAGCTTCTAGGGAACTTGGGCAAAAACTTGAAGGAAGCGGAAGACAGAGACCAGGCTTTGCTAGACAAGGTGGAGGCTAAGCTCAGTGAGGATCTGAATACAGAAGAGAAGGAAAAGGAGGAGAACGACGTGGAAGACGAGAGTATACCGTTGGCCAAGAGGAGAAAGGTTGAAAGTTCAAAGCTGAAATCGGACAAGGAGGACGAAGATGCTATGGAGGTGGATAAGAATGAGAGTGATGAAGAAGAGGAGGCAGAGCTCAAGGATGCTAACGACAACTTTGAAGATGCAGAAGAGCAAGGTGAAGAACGTAAGGCTTCGCCGCCGCCCGAAGAGCCAGCAGAGAGAATCAACACAAAAGACGACCCAGTTCCACCTGAACAAAGAGGCTCTTACACACACGAAAACGATACCAGGTTGAAGAATCCCAAGTCTGAGTTTGTTCCATCGCAGACGCTTTCAGCCGATGCCATCGCCGAGCTTGGTCTCTTTTCCGAGGACAACAATGGCCTCGATACTCAGGGTAAAGACTACCTCAAACGCAAGTATGGTGTGGCCTCGTACCCTGAAAACGACCTCAAGGACTTGCTTCCTGGTGAAATTCCCAACACTGATTTCTCCAAACACAAGGCCCCCTCCAACCAGGTTCAGTTCACAACTTATCAATCCTACATTGAATCCTTCTTCCGCCCATTTTCCAACGACGACATTCATTTTGCTAACGAGAAGTACGTGCTCCCGCCGGGTTTCGAAAAAGGCGATTACGATCCGGCCACAAGCCCTTATTTGATCCCAAAACTCGGGCCGTTCTATGCTGATGTTTGGGCCGAGGAGGACGCCAACTTACGTTCCAAGTTGAGCTCGCCAGCACCACAGAAGCCTCCATTGGAGTCTTATAAGCCCAAGGGAACTCAAGATGAAGTCAATGACGAAAAGCTTCTAACAGAAGATGTATCTGTGGGACCTCTTTCCAGTCGATTGCTTTCCGCTATTCTCAGTATACATGAAGCCAAGGGAGAAAGCGCAAGAGACGACGACGAGGAATCCATAAAAAGTGAAGATAACAGATCCGAAGCAAACATGTCGCTCGATGAGGATGTTGCCACACAGCTTGATAGCGACGCTTACAGAGTCACATCCGAGGTTAATGATTTCTACTCCATGGAGGAGAGACTTAAACGTGAGCTCAAGTACATCGGTATCTTCATGAACTTGCCTACAAAGGGAGAGAAGGCCAAACGTGGAGGCAGCATCATTGACAGCGACGAATGGCTCCTTCACAAAGAGGACGACGAAGTGAGTGCCGAAATCCGTGTTCTTCAGGAAGAACTCAAGGGCGCCGTGGTCCGCAACAGACAAAGAAAGAAGGTGCTTGTTCCCGTTCTCGAGGAGCAGCTCGCTTACCAAGAATATTGTACTATATTAGAGGACTTGGATAACCAGGTCAACACAGCCTACACGAAAAGACTCAAGGCCAAGAGCAGAAAGAAGAAGACACCTGAAGGCACAGTCAATGTTGCTCAGCAGCAAGCTGCTAACAGTGGTTTGCGTGCACTTATGGAGAAGAGACGCAGGTGGATCGAGAGCATTGGCTCTTTGTTCAAGCCACCGCAATTAATGAAGCGGGTTCCTACAGAATCCATATTTAAGGACCAGGTGCATTCAGATGATGAAGAAGGAGAAGCTGAGGTTGACGTTGTCAACGAAGAAGAGCCAGTAGCCTAATATCTCGTTAAATACATGCATTACGTCTATACTTACCAACCCATGCCAGCCGTCAATTCCTTGTGAGAGGGCAATGTCTTGCAGTTACCCAAAGCGCAAATGGAGATAGGCTTGTCTTTGAGTCTCCAGTTGGCCCAATCGACAACCTCCTGCTTTGTAACAGACTCAATTCTCTCAAAGACATCTTCAGGCAGCAAGCGGAAACCGGTATTGACCAATTGTCTGCCGATATCTTCAGCGATAGCGGTGGAGTCGTCAAGAGCCAAAACAAGGGAAGCCTTAAGCTGTGCCTTGGATCTCTCCACCTCCTCTTCGGTGATGTCGCCCGCCTTCAAACGAGCCCATTCATTGAGAACAGCGTTCGTGAACAAGGACATGTCTGTGTTGCTGTCTGCTGTGAAATAGACACCCATCAAACCTGTGTCAGCGTAAGATGTCGTGTAAGCCATGAAAGCGTTGACCATAGGCTGGTTGTTTGGGCCTCCCATGGCGGCCTTTACCGTCAATGGGGAAGGAGAGTCCAAGCCCACCCCGATGGATCTGTCCCAAGAGCCAATAAGACCGTTGGCAACAGAAGAGGTGAAGAAGTCAGGGGCTGACCAGCTCACGCCTTCCACAGCCAAGGCCACGTGGGTCACAGGCAAGGAGTTGTCTTGAATAAGTCTTTCGGCACCGTGGAACACGGGCATATCGTCGCCATGCTGCTTGAATGGAACAGGGCTCTTTTCAATGTGGCCAAAGAACTTGTTGGCGGTCTCCACAAGCTTTTCGTGGTCAACGCAGCCAACACCGATGAGCGCCATGCGGTCACCCTTGTAGTTTGTCTTGATGTAGTTGACCAAGTCGTCTCTGTTGATGGTCTTGATCTTCTCTCTTGGTCCCAAGATGGTTCTGCCGAGATCCTGCTTGCGGAAGGTGATCTCGTGCAAATGGTCAAAAACGACCTCGTCAAACATCTTGTCAACCTCGTCACTCTCTTGAAGAATGACGGCTCTCTCTCTCTCAATAGCCTTGGCTTCTAGTTTCAGTTTCGTCAACAAGTCACTCAAGATATCAACGTTCTGCTCCAAATCCTTCAGAAGACAGCGTGTGTAGTATACAGTGTTCTCTCTCGAGGTGTAAGCGTTGATCTGGGAACCCAAGTCCTCGATCTCGAGTTCTAGACTGTACTGTGACCGTTTGGCGGTGCCTTTAAAAGCCAAATGCTCTAGAAAATGCGCAGTTCCACTGCTGATGGGATTATCGGCACGGGAGCCAGCGTTGATCCACATTCCGACCGTGGCGGTCTTGGTACCTGGCATGTATTCACTTGCCACTGTAAGGCCGTTTGGCAAAACGGTGGTTTTGTATGATGGTGCCGGGGCTTTTGCGGCCAGGGCGCTGGGGGTGGCGGCGGCCGAGGCAAGACCCCGTAAATGTAGGGGTTTTTTGAAAAACAGTCTAAGCATGCTGGAAGGAAAAGAAAACGATGTGTGGAGTAGGTGATGAAATGAAGCGCTTGATATGTGTGTGGTGCACGGGTGTATCGCCTTCTCAGCTTTCTAAGACTGTGTGGTCTGGTTCTCAAGCGCATAGACTGGAGGGTATTAGTAACGGAAAACGGTAGACACTGGTTACGAGCACCCGGAGATGGTCTTCAGACTATTGACGTTTTTTGATTTGAAGAATACGAAGTTGATGAAAATTTCGAAATTGACCTTTTTATGAATTTGGTCAGTGGTGGTCCCGCTGGATTTATCCGTTTTGGTGACCTGCGAGATCGCTTACTCTAGTCATGACAGGACGGTTTAACAGTTGTGCAGATTTCCACATAACCGGTCAGGAGACAGGGAAAAGTCGGGAAGTGGTGGATTTATAGAATTGGGAAATTTTATGAAAGAGAGAAAATGAAAAAGCTTAGAAGTATCAAAAGTTTGGAAATCTCATCTACTCCCATGTGAACCTCCATGAGTGCCACACTTGGGGAAGGATTGTGGATGAAGATGTGGCTTTTCAAGGAACAACGCAATCTGCTTTTAAACGACATCCATTGTATTCAATAACGACTAGCAACCTTCGAAAATCACCTACAGTGTATACGAGTACGACAGAAACGTACCCCAGAGTGGTCTATACTCACACGATACTAGCATACGATAAGGTTGGCTCACAGAGAGTCGGTCCCGGGTACGATCGGAGTAAATCCCTCAAATCCTCCAGAACACCCACAAAAGATGATAAACTCCGTCAATCTCAAAAACACACCTAAAAGGCGTATTCATTGTTCACTGGTTCTTGGTGTTTTTCATCCTCGGCCACTGCGGGATTGGTTGCAAAAATGTCGTCGCTTGGGGTGGCCATCAAGTCCCATGTAAAACGTACCCTTTCCTCCTGATTCTTTTAAGTTGCTATCTTATCGTGTTGTCCCACACTAAAAGTACCCCATCAGCCTCCGAAACTGCACTTATCGCTTTGGTGGGCTGAAATAACTCGGGGCCTGGCCGAGGCTGTTACGACATTGTCGCGACTACAACGGCATCTCCCTGATTCAATCGAAGCAAAAGGAAACTCCAATTGATATCCCAAAATACCAAATCTACGATAATGTCGTCTTCCAGAAATCCCGAAAAATCACCACATTCGGTGCCCGTCAGCCCCAGAAACCTCCACACCCGGACTCCCCCGGTCACAGGACATGCGCATTTCTTTTTCCTTTTTTTCCACCATATATACTCACATATCCGCATAATCTTGCCCACATCTTTATTTACCATGAAGATTTTCGAAAGCTCACATTTGTTCAATTACACGTGGGAGCAGGTCTCTGCCGCCAATTGGGTCAAGTACCCAAACGAGCTTTCTACACATGTTGTCTCTGTGGACATTCTTAACAGAGAGGTTGACCCAGAGAGACATGTGCTTAAAACAGAACGTTTGATCGCCTGCAAACAGGCAGTTCCCAGATGGTTGCGTGCCATTATCGGAGGAGAAGAGTACTCCTTTGTTAGAGAAGTCTCCGAGGTGGATTTGGTGAACAGAAAGCTTATCATGAAGCTGGCCAACATGACGCTCCTGAACCTCCTTCTTGTGAACGAAACCGTTGTTTACACTCCGGACGAGAGGATGCCCGCCGGTAGGACCCTCTTTCAGCAGGAGGCCGAGATTACGGCGTTTTCTCCCTTCTCAGGCATCTGCAACAAGATCGAGGACTGGTCTGTGGAGCGCTTTGGCCAGAACGCCCAGGTCGGCAAGCGAGGCTTTGAAGGCGTCTTGGAGCTGGTGGCACAAAAGTGGGAGGAGAGTGGCGTCCTTGTGAAGGGCTTTGGTCACTCCATCATGAAGGAGATAGACGAGGTGAACGACATGACGCACGAGGTGATCCACGATGTTGGCGAGAAGACCTCGAGCGTTCTTTCGGAGGTCACCAAGCTCGGCAGCTACTTTAGCCGGAGCTAGATTTAGCATAACTACTGTTTTGCACGGTTTGTGCATACGGTGAGCATGGAGTTTTATGCCACGACCTGGACCTCACATGGGCCCCGACGTGGCGGTGTTTTGCATGGATTTACGGGACTATTTATTCACGAGACATGATAGACTAGCAATATATTACGTTAAAGAGGTATTTGTTTGTGTAGGGCTATTGTTGTCGTCTAGATCACGTGCGCGGCATCGCAGGCATCGCATATAGATTCCTCTCTGGATCACTTTCGACTTCCATGGATTTCGGTACAATTGCAATGGATGTTCCTGTGGGACAAGAAACTCCGGATATTCAGATGTTCAGTGCAAACGGAGCGCCCTCCAATCTGCTTTACCCGGATCTAGCCATAGACGCCGCTATAGAAAAGGCGTTTCTGGAACTAGAAAGACCCCAATACGTCAAGCTAGAGACCCCTGAGCTGCTTTCTCCAGAGGAAACCGACTGGACCGCTCCGGAGTTTGTCGAAGACGGGCCCGGCTCTTTGAACTCGTCTCCAGAAGACCCACAGGGCATCCAAAACGGCATCCATGAACAAACACAAGATCACCAGAACGTCAACATCGACACTGTGGCGGCGCTCAAGCGGGAGATGGCCAACCACAGCCGTATGGTGGGCACCTACACCACGATGAAGTCGGCGTACCTCAAGCTCTGCAAGGAGTTCAACTATCTTCTTGGGTTGTTCAACGACAACGAAAAGGCCAAGATCGGGCTCATCCACGAAAACAACCAGTTGCGCCAGATGTTGGTGGAGGTGATCAAGGAACGGGAAATTGATAGACAGCGGTACCGCGAGGTGTCGATGGAGGGCTAGCCCTCATAGCATACGAACGAGCATTCAGCATATAGCATTATAGACTTGCATTGAGAGATGTGTAGTGTGGTAGTTGTCTAGGGGGGTAGAAGTTGTTAGGGGGAAGGGTATTATGAAGAGAAAGGACTTGAGGGCGGTTGGAACGACTTTGTTGAAATATTTCAGAGGAGTACCTCATCACTCAGTTGGGTAAGAGAAACAGAGTGTTTCCAGGTTATGGAGATGCTGTGGAAAACCAAATATGTATCAAAAGAGTTTCCATGTTTCTCGGGTTTTTGCATAATTTCCATCTCTTCATGAGTTATGTGATGCTCTCTTGGTGCTTTCGATGTAGTCACCTACCCACATAGAGACGACTAGTTTCAGAAAGCTTTCCTCAAATTTCGAATAAAATTCTAAAGTCTCACATCTACGAACCCACTGTACGAAAATCAATTCCTCCAAATCACATCCCCAAATCACATCTCTATCCTGTCTTTCTCTTCACTATGGGTCTCACCTAGACCACCTACATCCCAGTTACCCAACATCACCATCACTACGCAAACTCCCAAAACGCCATGCTATTAATATATTCATACTCTAAACCCACCCAAATTTAAATATACCGTGGTGACTTCAACCCATGCCATATCCCGAAATCTGGGGTTCGCATGGTACTTCGCAGACACCACTTTTCTTCAGCTCAATTCTCCAAAATACCCCCACGCCATGTCCGACGTGTTGCTTGAATTGGAGATGATTTTGGCCACCGTAAGGCAAATCGACCAGAGCGTGCTTGCCAGCATTGCCCTCTTGGAAAAAGGCGTTCCCGCTGGATCTTACAAGCAGCTAGTGGCCAGTAACAAGGAGAAGCTAGAGCGTGTCATGGCGCTTCTCGAGGAGATGTGATGAGAAAGACGATTTGTTGTTTATGGAATGAACTTTTGCCGAGGCAATGATGCCAATTTTCTGTTTCTGCGTCGTTGGTCAACTCATGTCGATGTTTACTGTGCGAAGTAAACAACTCTCTTCATGGACAGAAAGCAGACCCAGGCGGTGGAGGAGTACCAGCGTAAGGCGCTTCGGGCGACCGGAGGCGCTTCGGATAACGAGCTGGATTCTGATTTGGACCAGTTGCTTGAAGAGCTCGACAACGACGCAGAGGAGTCGCTGGCTCAGTATAGAGAGGCCCGTTTGGCGGAGTTAAAGCGTGAATTCGGCAAGATCGACCGTGCCGCTCACGAGCTCGGGCAGGATTTGGGGCTGGTGACGTTTGTGAATGACGAAAAAGAGCTTATGGACCTCGTCACCAAGGCAGATGTGTGTATGGTGCATTTCCACCAGCCTGAGTTTGCCCGGTGCAAGGTGATGAACGAGCGGTTGGCTGCTGTGGCTGAAAAACACGTTGACGTGAGAATATTGGCGATCAAGGCCGGCCTGGCGCCGTTCTTGGTGGCTAAGCTTCAGCTCAAGGTGCTTCCTGTGGTGATTGCGTATAGGAAAGGTAAGGAACTCGCCCGGATTGTGGGGTTCGAGGGTCTCGGCGGCTCAGGAACAGACTTCCCTGTGGAGGGGCTCGAGACGTGGATGTTCCGTCATAGGTTGGTCAACAGAAGGGCCTTGACATTTGCAGCCAAGAAGGCAACGCAAAACGATGAAAGTGACGATGACGATTGGTATTAGTTTCGAATTGCCTTCTAACTTCTGCAGCACAATAAGTGCAAGAAGCGGCTGAACGCAGATGGCCTCCGTTCTTCTGGAAGCTTGAACTCCGGCAACTCCACTTGGCGCCGACGAGGGGCCTTTTCGTGGTAGAGTTTCAGGCGGTTCTTCAAAACAGAGTCGCCAATCATCTACAACTGCACGGAAAAGAAGGGACCGGAAATAATATTTGGGTTTTGGTGACCGAACTGAACTGGCTGGATTGCTCAGATTCGTCAAATGCTGGTCGTCCCAGATAGGAAATGACCACGAGATAATGGAGAGGCTGACGGTAGAGGCAGGCAATGTTCTACTGTGCCTGGGAGGGGTCGTTCGACAAT